GAGGTATTGAAGGGTGGAGGGCGGGGAGGGATAAAAAAAAAGTGACCGAGAAAACATTATGCACCTGAAGGGTAACTATAGAAAATCACTCTTACTCTATGCAAAGACTTAAAAAAGTGTGATTTTCTCAAAAAAAAATTTCCCAAGTAATCAGCTGTGCACGCGTTTCCTGGAATTTTCTCAGAAGTAAGTCATTGACCCCTATTTCATTTGTATTACGGTTAACCCTTTGACTGTCGCAGGTCCCTTTCTGAAACTGTCATTCTATGTCGCAAAATATTCGAAAAAAAATTGTTTTTTCTTACCAAAATGTTAGGATTATTTTACTGAGTGTTTTAAGCCTAAAATATATTTTTTGCCATCGGTACTTACCGAGATACAGAGGCACAAAATTGGCAGAAAATGAGCGGTGTATGGCAACAGCGGTGAATGCCGCCCACCCGGTATTCTTTTATTTACTCCAATTTGAAGGTTTCTTGTATTTTCCAATATTTTTCTTTTGTAAGTAACTTATGTGGCCTGTGAAACCAAAGTAAGGTGCATTGTTCAAATATACACTCATTGTTTACAAAACAATAACTGAACAAACATTATCACTATTAGTTTGTGTATAAAACTTTTTTACACAAACAAACAATACAAAACATTGTTTATTACTATTGTTCCATAATATATATGCATATGTACAGTCACTGAACATTTTCCTAGAACTGCTGCAGCTTGTGGAACTCTTCGAAACACGGGTATATGCAGAGTGGCACTTGACACTCCTCACACATAAAACGAGTGTCTCTGCATGTTTGTGGGCGTTTTGTGGTATGTCCACATACAAAACACCTCTTCTGAGCATTTTTCTTGAAAACAGTAAGAGGCAGTTGTATGGGGTAGTGATCACCAGGCCTCAAACGAATTGGCGTGTGTTGGTAATTTCGTGGGCGCTGGTCTATTGCAGGTCTTGCTCCTTGGTACTTGGCAATTATTTGTCTGATGACTGACAAACAAAATTCACCATATTTTGGTTTGTTGTTGGTCTTCAACTTGTGTATGTTATAAACATTTAGCATGGAAATATCAACAAGATGGAAAAAAGTTTTATATACCACTTATAACTCTTGCATACACAATCAGCAAACCCAATCTGCATGTCACATTTGTCCACTAAGCACATATTGAGGTTGTAGTTCACGACAGCTGCAGGTTTTAGAATGGATTCATTGGTCTCTCTATTGTGCCTGCCAGTATGTGCCATTTCGTTTTGGTGAACTGATATCAGCAATGTGACATCACGTTTGTCATGCCACCAAAATGCCATGATGTCATTGGCAGCAAAGGCTTGCACCTCACCTCTGCGAGTGCCAGCGTTGAACCTTGACATATGTTTATGATTACCACGCACTGTGCCACACGTCTGTCAGGTTCACTCACAAGAAATCACTGAGTATGGGGCTTGTGTACCAGTTATCAGTAAATATATGCCCCTTACCAAGATATGGTTCCATCATTGTTCGAACCACATCACCAGAGATACCCAATAACTTCCTGGTATCTCTCAATGTATTACTGTCAGTGTACACAATGATATCCAAAACGAGACCACTTTTGCAATCACACAGTACAAATAACTTTATACCAAAGCATTTCCTCTTGCTTGGTATGCATTACTTGAATGAGAGTCTTCCTTTGAATAAAATCAAAGACTCGTCAATAACAAGCTTCCTGAAATGATAAAAATACACGCAACACTTTTGTTTCAGGTACATAACACATTTCTGATCTTATATAACCTGTCGCTTCTGTCAGGCCTTGTTTTGTCTGAAAAGTGTAACATACATAACAGTATCAAGAAACGATTCACACCTATGATGTCACTAAAACCTGGGGTTGAAATCAGGCGTTCTGTTGCCCAGTATGTGGTGACAGTGTGCTTACAAACATGTGGCATAAGCATTATTGTGGCAAAAAACAGGTACATCTCTGCCACAGTTGTGTCCTTCCACTGGTGTAGCCATGATCTTGGTGAGAGAATTGTATTTGCCATGGTGTACTTGTAGTATGTGTTGGTTTCCTTGGCAATAATGTCCATCAGGGGTTCATCGAAGAATAACTGAAAGCATTCCAGTTCAGTAGTATTGTTCCCAAGTGTACACGATGGCCATATTCCACTTTGTGTTTCATCAAAGTCATGGGGACTGGGAACAAACTCGTCACCTTCCTGCCAATCCTAGATGCGGTCTGCTGGTGGGTTCTGGATATTGAAACGTGGTTGTGTAGGCTGTGGTTGTGCAGGTTGTGGGAGTGTGGGGTTGGGTGAGGCTGGTTGTGCAGAGTCAACAGCGTGGGTAGTAGCATGGCCTGCTGCCAGTGCCACATGACTCATGCCACCATCATTATCACCACCACCACCTGCTGCCTCACTCACATCATTCATACCCATCGTAACAATATCGTCATCTTCACTATCAGGTCGTGGTGTAGGGCCACAGGATGTGCTCCGAGATTTACTCCTTTCCCTTGGAACAGCATATGAAACACTACCAGACCGCATGAAATCATCGTATATACTGCCGCTTCACTGGGGGATATTCACCCTCACTGTCACAACTAGAACTGCTTTCAATAACTTTGAAATCACTATCACTATCACTGCTCACATCTGAGTCTTGTACATGGGCAAATAGTTTCCTCTTCCATCCTGGTACAGGTGAACGTGAACGTGAACGAGCCGGCCCAGCACCAGAGGTGGAAGGTAGTGGGTCATCTGGGTTTTCATCACTAATTACGTTATCCTGGGCACTTTTTTCGGTCACACCCACTTGAAAACCATGGAATTCACTTTCACTGACACTTTCATCACTATTAGAGCTATCACTTGGGAACAAAAGACCTCCAATCCGCCGAGGAGTGAGGAACATCTTACTGCGAGGCATGGTGAAAATGGACTACCAAAATGGCGTTCCCACAATGCACCACTGAGTCCCAGATTTTTTCACAGGGTGCACACCCACCACTCAGACCCATATTCTCTCATGTAGACCTACCAGCTTTCTCCCACTCGATTTGAAGCCGCTAGAATTTACACGTATAAATACGTCAGAAACAGTGGCACGTAAGACGTATATATACGACGTAAGCAGTCAAAGGGTTACTAATAAACAGATTGAAAGAAATTTCCCAGCAGACATAAAACTGAATGTTTTAATTTTGGGTGGTGACACTTGAAATGTCAGTAAGGGGTGATTCCTTGATTAGCGACAAAATCGTTTACTGATGGGGTCTTAGGTCCCTAACTCTGTCATTAAGTGAGGAGAGGCTGTACTGCTCAGTGCTGATGGCCCCATTCAGATCAGGGGAAATATCAGAGCTGGAACAAATGCAGAGATCATTTATAGCACATGTTGAGCCTTAATGTCTTGAACATGTACTCACTGGAGTGGAGGAGAGAGAGATACACAATAATATACCTGAAAAGTACTCGAGGGACTGATCCCAAATCTGCACACTGCCATAACGACAACCTGGAGTGAGATATGGGAAGAAGTGGAAAATAGACCCAGTGAGGAACAGGGGTGTGGTTGGGACAATAAGAGAATACTGTATCGATATTTGTGGCTGAAGGCTGTTTAACATCTTACCAAAAGATATCAGAAACATGGCTGGAACAAGTGTAGAAGCCTTCAAGAGGAAACTGGACAAGTATCTTTGCTAGGTGCCAGATCAACTAGGCTGTGGTGGATATGTGGGGCAGTGGGCCTCCAGCAGCAACAGTCTGGTTGACCAGGCAAGCACCAGACGAGCCTGGCCCATGGCCGGGCTCTGAGAGTAGTGAGACTCTTGAAACTCATCAAAGGTAAAGATAAGGTGAGAGACAGCCGGCGTGTTAAAAAAAATAATAAATAAAATATAATATAAAATACGTATAATATAATATAATTAAAATGAAAATTTTATTTCCTTGCAAAGCTTACAGTGTGTGGTTTACATATTATAAGATATTAATTACAAAGAAAGCCACTAGCATGCCTAGGCATTTTGGACAGACTAATCTTAATTCTTACTGACTATTCTATATTGACACAGGTTATGCAGCAGTAAATTTTAATATTCATTATTGCATGTTAATATAAAAGTTAGGTAATTAAAAAGTTTATCATTAATAAGATTGATCACATTGAGGTAGTACAAAACATTTAACAGTATTACAGTTAGTATAATTTAGTAATAGGAATGGGTTTATCTCAGCATGATATGCTGTTTGTATAGTTGAAAGCTCCTATATTGGCAGAGTATTTCAGGCAAACTTAGGACTAACTTAAGATTAGGAATTTTATGTCTACAGTTATTTGGGTGAGTGTAAGTAAGTTATTTGGGCGAGTTCAAGTCTTATTTTGTTTTGGATTTGTTCATGATACTGAAAATAGCATGTGTGATTTTCACATAATTAACTGATGATGGGGTGAGTTAGGCAGATAAGGTGTTTTTTAACAGTAGTTTTGAGAATTATAATAGTATCTTTATTTCTACAAGTACTTGTACAAGGTATACAGGCCTAGCTGACATCAGTGACATACTACTAGTATATAGAAAGCCCCTTGTTATGCAGAGCATTTCGGGCAAATTAGGTCAGTTTTGTTTCAGGATGCAACTCACACCAGTCAACTTACACCCAGGTGCCCATTTTTACTGATGGGCGAACATAGACAACCGGTGTAAGAAAACATGCCCAATGTTTCCACCTTTGCCAGGAATCAAACGCAGACTATCAGCGTGTGAAATGAGGGCTTTTACCACCAGGCCACAGGCCACTTTATGATCCACATGTGCTTAGATCTTATTACGAATGTAATAAAAACAGTTCCATTGCAGAATTTGATACATTCTTCCTCAGTTTTTGGTTTTCACTGATTCCCCACCTCAGTGTTTTACTCATGTTATTCCTCCTATATATGTCAAATTTTTCTCTCTGAGTCCCAGAATAAACATTCCAATGCTTGTAATTTCAGATCCCTGGCTAACTTCTACAAAAATAAATCTGAGTGTTTTGTCAAGGAGGAAGTAAATTTGCCAGAACCTTTCAACATGGACCTCTACTTGAGGATCTTCCAAGAACCAGGTTACAATAGTATTCAACAAAAACAGGCAATTAGTGATGCTAAAGTTGCCCTTATTGTATATTTTAATGCACATTTACATGCAGCAAAACAAAAATTTGAAGACATTATTCATTTCTTGCGAGAAGTATCCTTTAAATCTGAATGGGAACGTATGGAAGTCAAAGTTTTATTAAACCTTCATGCTGCTTTGATGTCCTTTTTTAAATTTGTTCAGACAGGACATACTTTGAAACTGAATGAGAGATATTTGTATATAAAAACTCTTGCTTGTAAAATAACCAAATATCAAAACTTATTAGAATCATGTATAAACAAAAGAATACATGGTAGTAGTAAAAGTACCTGGGAGGAAATTATGAAACTGGCTGATGTTTTACATACAATTGGTGGAGAAGATGCTTTCAGGAAAATTATTGACTTAGTTAATATAAAGAAAAAAATGTTTGCATTTACTTACGTTTTGGAAAAGACTGTTGAGGCTATAGAAAGTGCCGAACCACTAACAGATATACTTTCACGCAGTGACAGTTTTTGGAAAGTCAGCAAGACCCTGCCAGCACTTTTGACATATTTAATAATTGAAGCCTATTGCCCTTATAAGATAAGTTTATCAAATCTTTTGCAGCAGATAAATTCACCTGATTCGTGTCTTCAAACACAGTCATCAAGCTTAGATCTTACAGAGTGAGTCATGTCATACAGGTTTTAGAAATGGTTATTAGATGTTTGTTAAGTACAGTACTTTACCCCATGTTTATTATACATATGCATGCCACATCTGTTTGTTCTGTAAACCATCCTTAGTTTTTCCCAACGGACATGATTTTTATCTCATGTTTTTAAACACAAAATTCTTTTATGAAAATTATCTTTGGAATGTGAGCAAAGTAACATTTATGAAGGGATTCAGGGAAACCGGCAGGCCGGACTTGGGTCTCGGAGATGGGAAGTACAGTGCCTGCACTCTGAAGGAGGGGTGTTAATGTTGCAGTTTAAAAACTGTAGTGTAAAGCACCCTTCTGGCAAGACAGTGATGGAGTGAATGATGGTGAAAGTTTTTCTTTTTCGGGCCACCCTGCCTTGGTGGGAATCGGCCGGTGTGATAATAAAAAAAAAAAAAAAAAATAATTCCAATTATACATATAAGAGCCTAAATGAGATTTTTTGATCAGTAAACATTGTTTGGACTGTACATGCCAATTTAACATATTTGTCTGAAATACTATGACTTACAGTGAAATCTTTCAAAATTTTCTTGAAAATGTAAACTTAAAATTTAAGACCAAGATATATTTTTTTTTTTATTATCACACTGGCCGATTCCCACCAAGGCAGGGTGGCCCGAAAAAGAAAAGCTTTCACCATCATTCACTCCATCACTGTCTTGCCAGAAGGGTGCTTTACACTACAGTTTTTAAACTGCAACATTAACACCCCTCCTTCAGAGTGCAGGCACTGTACTTCCCATCTCCGAGACCCAAGTCCGGCCTGCCGGTTTCCCTGAATCCCTTCATAAATGTTACTTTGCTCACACTCCAACAGCACGTCAAGTATTAAAAACCATTTGTCTCCATTCACTCCTATCAAACACGCTCACGCATGCATGCTGGAAGTCCAAGCCCCTCGCACACAAAACCTCCTTTACCCCCTCCCTCCAACCCTTCCTAGGCCGACCCCTACCCCGCCTTCCTTCCACTACAGACTGATACACTCTTGAAGTCATTCTGTTTCGCTCCATTCTCTCTACATGTCCGAACCACCTCAACAACCCTTCCTCAGCCCTCTGGACAACAGTTTTGGTAATCCCGCACCTCCTCCTAACTTCCAAACTACGAATTCTCTGCATTATATTCACACCACACATTGCCCTCAGACATGACATCTCCACTGCCTCCAGCCTTCTCCTCGCTGCAACATTCATCACCCACGCTTCACACCCATATAAGAGCGTTGGTAAAACTATACTCTCATACATTCCCCTCTTTGCCTCCAAGGACAAAGTTCTTTGTCTCCACAGACTCCTAAGTGCACCACTCACTCTTTTTCCCTCATCAATTCTATGATTCACCTCATCTTTCATAGACCCATCCGCTGACACGTCCACTCCCAAATATCTGAATACGTTCACCTCCTCCATACTCTCTCCCTCCAATCTGATATTCAATCTTTCATCACCTAATCTTTTTGTTATCCTCATAACCTTACTCTTTCCTGTATTCACCTTTAATTTTCTTCTTTTGCACACCCTACCAAATTCATCCACCAATCTCTGCAACTTCTCTTCAGAATCTCCCAAGAGCACAGTGTCATCAGCAAAGAGCAGCTGTGACAACTCCCACTTTGTGTGTGATTCTTTATCTTTTAACTCCACGCCTCTTGCCAAGACCCTCGCATTTACTTCTCTTACAACCCCATCTATAAATATATTAAACAACCACGGTGACATCACACATCCTTGTCTAAGGCCTACTTTTACTGGGAAAAAATTTCCCTCTTTCCTACATACTCTAACTTGAGCCTCACTATCCTCGTAAAAACTCTTCACTGCTTTCAGTAACCTACCTCCTACACCATACACTTGCAACATCTGCCACATTGCCCCCCTATCCACCCTGTCATACGCCTTTTCCAAATCCATAAATGCCACAAAGACCTCTTTAGCCTTATCTAAATACTGTTCACTTATATGTTTCACTGTAAACACCTGGTCCACACACCCCCTACCTTTCCTAAAGCCTCCTTGTTCATCTGCTATCCTATTCTCCGTCTTACTCTTAATTCTTTCAATTATAACTCTACCATACACTTTACCAGGTACACTCAACAGACTTATCCCCCTATAATTTTTGCACTCTCTTTTATCCCCTTTGCCTTTATACAAAGGAACTATGCATGCTCTCTGCCAATCCCTAGGTACCTTACCCTCTTCCATACATTTATTAAATAATTGCACCAACCACTCCAAAACTATATCCACTCCAAAACTATATTAGTACTAATTATTTGTTAGGTATATTCTCCCCAGATTCAACACATAAAGGTCTCCTGGAGTATATCTGTGTTCTGATACAATACCTTTAATAGTTGAATAACTCCTTGTTCATATTCATAAATGCATTTTCACCATTTTCTTTAATTATAACAATACTTTCAGTTATTTTCTTAGGAGCCAAGATATATTGTATGTACTTCCATTTTATAACGAAAAAAGGCACAATACTGTGGCTGGAACAATACATAAATAATCCACACATAGAAGAGAGGAGCTTATGATGACTTTTCGGTCCAACTTGTAAATGGTCCAGGTTGGACCGAAATGTCGTTGTAAGCTCCTCTCTTCTATGTGCAGGTTATTTGTGCATACTTCCATTTTATTTTACTTTATAAAAAGGAGCAAATCTTTTCAGTCAAGTTTTCCAGGTCATCTCTCACCTCTCTACTCTGTAGAGTGTTTACTAATTCTTTGTTTTTAAGCCTAGAAATCTCTTGAGTTGTAATGCTTCTCAAGTATATGATTGTATTGTTTTGTGTTTCTAAAAGTAAACATAAATAGGTCGTTCAGCACAAGGACTGGTGGAAGCTTAATCATTCACCAGGTAATTTCAGCCATGTCTCTGCCTGTATTATTATTAAGTAGAGAGGATGATGCCATAGTTGCAACAGTCACCTGAGATGAAGCAGCAGTAGAGAGGTGGGACAGTACACAAGTAAAGACTACAAGGACATGAAATTGGCTGCAAGATCTTAGCTCTTAAGAATACATATCTTTTCTGCAAGGGTGTATGTAGCAAAGAGGTAATTATTACATTAATGTACAGTATTTACATTGTAATGCTTTCTTACAGCTGAGGTGTCTTTTGAAATGATAGAAAACACTACATAAAACGATACATGTTTTGAACTTTAAGGTAATATAGGTCAGTATTATTACATCCCGGAGGAAACATTAAACTCATGCAGCCTATATAATGGACAGCAGATACAAAGAATGTATAAACTGATTAGTTAGGAGGCTGGATAAAGTAACATGGATGATTACTGAGTTTATAGTGCTGCAATTTCATGAGGTCATTGAGGTTTAGTGTCAAAAGTCTTTTGCAGATCAGTATTCAAAATTAATGTTTATTAGCTTTAGATCCAAGGAATTGAATCAGACCTTATTTTCATTTCTCGTGTGATGTGTGGCAACTAATGGTTTAGTGCTTACCTCTGATTATAAGATAAAATAAAATGTTTATTTCTGTTGATCCACTGGTCAACAATTTTTGAAAAGTTGTATACTTCTTAAATGAGATTAGTTAATTCTTATGTATTTTCATGTCCTGAATCCAAATATCACCTTGAAAAAATGCTTATTGGCTATAGGTTTAAAGATACAAGACATGTAATATTTGATTATTTTATTATAACATATAATATGTGTCAGTATGTTTTAAACTCTAATCCGTACCTACTCTTTGCCTGTTTTCTTGTCACTTATAGTGGGCTGAAGAATCATCTTTTGCCAGTGTCCAGCAATAGTCTGCAAGCATTCTTGTACCCCATTTGCCCTGGTACCATTTTTCCATGGTTGAAATATCTTGGTGAAACCATTCACCATTTTTTCGTCACTAACTGCCCCACAGTTTGCTGGAGAAAAGTCTAAATGTGAGTTCAAAAAGTGGATTTTAAGTGACAATTTACATCCCTTCTTCCTCCTCACCACTTTCTTCATCTGACTCAAAGGATACCAAAGTTGGTGCATCACTAACAAGTATACCCTCTCCATGTGGAACTGGGTGAATAGCTGATGGAATGTTTGGATATTCAATGGACCCCCTTTTTTTTTTTTCTTTGAGAAGCCATTTTGTACTGGAGGTACCATGCAGAAATAACAATTGTTGATGTGGTCTGTTGGCTCCCACCATGCCATTGGCACAGCAAAAGGCATTCCTTTCCTTTTCCTGTTCAACCACTGGCAAAAGCTAGTAGCACAATTGTTGCAGCATATGTGTGGAACCCAGTTTTTATCCTGGTCACTCAGCACTGTATAGCCCTTGTGGTTTAGCGCTTCTTTTTTATTATAATATAATAATAATAATCCTGGTCACCAATCTTACATCCAAAATATAGGTGATATGCCTTTCTAACCATAGCAGTTATATGGCACTTCTGTGATGCAAAGGTCACCTCACCAATGTAGCAGAAGTTGTCTGCCCTATTCACAAAAGTACAAGGCATCTGAAAGAAGAAAACTACAGACAATTAGAAGATAAACAGAAAATTTATTCATTAATTTATTGTAATACAGAGCATGACAGCTAAGCAGAAGTATTTATATCATTCAGTAGGAAAATAAAATTAATATAATATGCCTCACATGCATATCAATAGCTTGCTCAGTGAATATTTATTATAAGCTTAAAAAGTGTTTGACTAAGAAAATCACCTACCTTTCACCTCAAAATATAAACTTGCATAGCACAACCACCTTCTATGACTACTGGAACAATAATGAAGAGCAGTGAAACTGAGTGTGGTAAGAAACACATTGCCGCAAGCCTGTTGGAACCTGAATGAATATCAAGATGGCATACAATACCAACAAGTTGGTATGTAAGACACATAGGCAACATTTAAGCATCTTTATTCCGAAATGTTTCGCCTACACAGTAGGGTTCTTTAGTCGAGTACAGAAAGTAGGCAGGAGCAGTAGATGTGAAGACAATGTATTCAGTCCATCACCCTTGAAGATGTAGATTTGAGGTTGTCAGTCCCTCAGCCTGGAGAAGAATTCTGCCTCATAGTCTGAAACAATGTGAAGAACAAGCGACAGTGCCAAGACTTATATACTGTCAGCAGGAGAAGTGTAGAGTAGTATAAGAAAGAATGTAATCACTGAGAGGTCTCG